GAGCCCTATCGTGGGTAGAGGAGCAGTACTGATGGGTTCCAGAGGGAATACCTCTTCCAGTTCTTAGCCAGAAGGATGGTTGACGCTAGGCCTCAGTGGGGAGAGGAGTGGTGGGGAAGTGTTTTAAAATGTGTATGGTGATGGTAGGGGAGGAGAGAGCAGGGAATAGAGGAATCTTCAGGGCTCCATCAAGGATGCATAGAAGCCCCTGGAGCAAAAAAAGATATACTCTCAAACAAATGCCTCCATTTAAATAATAAGCTGAAAGGCAAATTCCCTTTCTGATGGGTTGTTAATTATAGATTCCTTCTCTAAAAGCCCCTCCTGCTTTACCCTTACCTCTTTCCCCAGAGCTGGAGATCAGGGAACCACTCTCTTCCTAAAAATCAAATAAATCTTAAACACTTCCTGAGCCACGCTGCTTAGCTATACAGTGATTTGATATATGAAACAAAAGACAAGGGGCTGAGAGTGACTTATTTTCCCTGTGTAAAGGTGAAGCACTTCCCATCACCTGGCTGAACTCTTCTGGAGTTAATGTGCTTTAGTAATGTTTAACTGATCAAAGTTTTTTCAGAAAAGATGGTGGATAAAACATTTTTTTTTAACTTGTGATGCTTCTTTCCCTTAAAGAGGCAATGACCTGTCACGGTTAAGCAGTTTGGCTTGCACAAGCATTTTGAGAAGCATTATCGCCCTCACAGAACAGCAGCTTCATGTTTCCCTGCACAACAACCTTTCATAGCCTAAAATGCTTTGCATCCCAGTTTCCTTGATCTGTCTAAGTGCTTGCATGCTGAAAATCCCACCCCCCTCCCTCCAGCTGTCCCTCTGGCAGGAAATAGACAGCATCTTCCCTCTAGAGAGCACAGTCATTGCTCCTTTGGTTATTTAATCAGTGAGGGTAACATTCACTAAGGGCCCATGTAAAGCTTTCTGAGCTGCAGAAACACCAGATCCACGCTTACACACATCCAGTGGCTCGGAATACTCCTGCTAACAGGCGTGGCTGGATAGTAACTGTTATTCCAGCCCACAGGTTGAAGCAGCATCTGCTAAAGTGCAGCACTGCAGTCTCCACATTAGGGAGGTGGGGTAAATTTCTCCACTGCCAAAGCCACTTAAAGCTCAGTTCCTCAGGCTTTGTGCAGGATTTCAGAATTTGACCCTGAGTGCAAAATACCATGCCTCGCAGTGTTTTAAAATACACTAGTTTTATTTTCATAATAGCTGGGAAATGTTCACTTACCCAGTCTTAACAATTTAGGATTTCTTTTCATATTGAGCAAGGAAGGTACAATGGGTGGGGTAGTGAGTAGGCCCTAATCCTGCATGAAAGAAGTCAATAGGAGTTTTGCAACTGACTTTAAGGGACATAGGTTCAGACCCAAAGTGCACGGATTTTCACTTCAGGACACCTCACTTAGGTCCCAAGTGAAAATGACTTTAGTGATTTCTTCCTACATTCCATTTATGCTCCCCACAAAACTGCCCTGCAGCCTGGAATAATGGGCAGTCTCTACTACGGAGAGGACCAGGACTAGAATAGCAAGGGTGTTGCAGGTTGTGATTGAGGTATGTTAGCTAACCTGTGTTTGAAACCCACCACATTGGTGTCTCACACTATCCTTGGCTCAGGTCACTGTCATTAGCCTCACACTTTCGTGAGCGTTAAATTCACCCAATAAGCTGTAAAAGAAATACATATTTCTGTAAAATGGGTTTTAACAACACTTACCCACCTTTATAAAGCGCTTTGAGACCCTTGGCTGCAATGTGCTTGATAAGAGCTATAAATACAGAGTGTTACTTATAGGTTATATAGGTCTTTGTATCTTCAAAGGAAAGATCCTTTTTCAGTACAATTATTAATATATCAGTAATCTTGGATAGCTCTCGGGGCTAAATGCATCTCTGGTGTTAGCAAGTGTAGCCCCATTGAAGTCATCTGCTCACACCAGCACAGAATTTAGCCTCACCGTTGCACAATGTTTAACTTTTTTGTACTTCGAATTATTCTCTATTACTTTAGGTCACTGGGTGTAGAATTGGGTAAACACCTTACCTCTACATTTTTTCACCCTCTTCAACATGTCAAAACCACATTCAACCTTTTGAACTTGCAGAGCCAAATGCAGCTATGGTGTAAATAGGTGCAACTCTGCTGAAGTCAGTGGAGTCGCATCTGCTTACACTTTGGTCCCCTAAACTTTGTGGACTAATCCTTTCTGGAGCAAAAATGGAATTAAATATTAAGGGCCTTATTCTTCAGCCTTACTCACCCTGTAGTAACTGAATATCAAAGTAGTCCCATTGATTTTCAGTTGGGGACTACTTGTGTAGTAAAGTACTACTCAGTCTGAGTAAGCACATGGCATAATTGGACCTTAAAGGAAAATTGCCCCTATTTTGTTCAGCACTGAAATTTCATAAGGCGGGAAACAATTCTCATCATTAATAATCACCAACAATGTATTTTTAAAAATAATGCAAGTTTAAAAAAATTAAATATTGTTTATTCACCATTTTTTCTTCTGGGTTGTATGATTAGAATCGCAGCCAGTTAGAGATTGGCTAATCATTTCTTCCTTTGGGTTCCTCTTTCGGTTAGTCTCACAAATAATTTATGAGACTAATAATTTATCTTTTCATCAAAACAAAGATCAGAAATACCAAACTGTAATTAAAACCTTAACATTCAATTATTTCTGATTATTCTTGAAGTAGAGACAGTGTAGTCCCATTCTTGAATTTATTATTGGATTGTTATGTTTCCTTGGACAAGTCACTTCCCTGTGCCTCATTTTGTCATCATCTGTAAAACGAGTATAGCAATACTTAGCTGCCTCTATGGGGAGTTGTGATGCTTAGGCTACATCTACACTACAGGGGGGAGTCGATTTAAGATACACAAATTCAGCTACGTGAATAGCGACGTATCGCAGCCGACTTACCCCGCTGTGAGGACGGCGGCAAAATCGACCTCTGCGGCTTCCTGTCGACGGCGCTTACTCCCACCTCCCCGAGAGGTCGATTTCTACCCGCCGATTCAGGCGGGTAGTGTAGACCTAGCCAGTTAATGCTTGTAAAGTGCTTTAAGATAGCACATTTTACCTGTGTGTATTTAAATATTATGTTGAGCTTTGGAACTTTGCAGGACTGACCATATGACTGGAGTTGTCCTTAAATGCAGAGCAGTTTACAAGTGTGACTTCTCCTGTAAGTGTTTTAGTTTTCAGTTGAAACCTAATGATGCATACATAACATTTAACTCTGATGTCAATAAATAGCACACTACTAGGTCCTTGCCATAGCTATTAGAGAGAATGAAAATAAAATACCAACTCATTTTTATCCTGTGACTATACCATAAAATTTAATAAAGCAGTAATAGGTAAGACACAGGGAATTTCCAGGGGATTAATGACCAGGGGGAGGAGCTGACGGTACACAGTGAAGCCTAGGGACATTAGCCAATCATGAATCCCCAGGCAATGCCCTATATCTAAAGTAATATATATTGCTATTATGAAATAAACATTACAATGAAAATGGTATAGGGAGAGTAGTAATCTGCTCACTGGCCAGCAAATTGGATGGGTGGAAGTGGATCCAGATTTCTCCCACCCCAACCCCTCTAAATGGTGTCCAGATCCAAAGTCAAGGGGGTCTTGCAGGTGAACTCTTTATATCCTGTGCTGGCACATAGTTTGGACCACAACCTGGCCTTGAGACATTGTTTTTCTATTTCCCCTTTCATATTTCCCCTTTCCCTGGGGTAATTCTAAATTACATCCACCCAGCTTCAGGACAGAGGGATCCCTCTGCATGTATTTATGGAATTCCTAGATGGGGAAAGCCATATCAAAGTCTCAGAGTTGTGGACCAAAGCAAATGGTATGACCTAATACAGTTAGCAAATGATAATGCAAACCACAGAAACATATAAGGGATGGATAATGCATTTTCTGGCTGGGAAGTCACTGAAGGTTTGTTTAGAGGGAAGGAACAGATATATTTATTTTGGTGGGGTAGGTTCTCTGGATTTTTCCTATAAATCCCTCATCTCTGTTTTTGTATACACCAAGACTGTGCCACTGTCTTCGGACCCTTCTCTGCCTCTTTATGTTTAGGAATGATCCTGCCTTTCAGTACCCATCTATGTTGAGGCCCTACATTAGAATGATGGGACCTGATGCAGAGAGGGGTTTAGCACCTTCACCTGCCCTTGAGTTAACCACCAGTCCATAGCTGTAGTCTGCATATTCTTCTCCCTGGCCTCTTGGTCCCAGGAGAGTTGCTCTCAACACCTACAGCTCCTACTTCCTGGTGCTGGGAAAGTGTTATCAGGCATTACAGATTTCCATGATAATCCCCAGTCTCATGTAAGAAAAACTGGTTTGGTTAAATCCAAAAGCACATCCCACCATTACCAAGGCATTTCTTTATCATCTGATTAACAGGCTCAGAAGCTCCTGCTTGGTTCCTCCCCCTTAATTCCAACCTCCCGCTACCCCAAACACCCACACACACCCCATAGCCTTATTTATACTATCACTTCAGAGTAAAGGAGAAACATGATCCCAAGATTTCTGGGCGCAGAGCTCACGGCACACACGCTAAATCACAAAGGGCTGGCCACATGGGTCCCCTGGAACCAGCTAATATCTTTAAAACAAAAACAGAGCAACAAAACAAACAAACAAAAAAAGCCAACTCCCCACCCCACTTGTGAAGAGGGGCACACCCAGTTCTCCAGACCCTTTGTTATCTGATCAGAGGCAGTGAAACTTACCCAGAAAGAAGAACTGCACATATTCCTGCAATAACATTATACAAAGCTAACCATGCGCATTATTCAGTTGATTTAGGTATGCACATTAATCACATGGGTGTGTGTAGGGGGTGGGGGTGGGGGAGTCCCTTGGGACTGGGCAGATGCTTTGTCTGCATGCTCCCAGTGTCCAAGAGTGTGGTGCTGAAAGCTGAGAACGCTTTGCAGACCTGCCCAAGACATCCTCTGCCTGCTGCTGGCGTTTCTTCCTTGGCTCCGCTCCCCCCGCCCCTGCAGTTCCTTCCCTGCACCTTTAAGAAGCACATTGCTCGCTGGTGGGATGGTGTGGTACAGCTCCACAGAGGAAGTTACGCAGCCTGGATCAGGCACTGAGATAAAAGCAACGACTGTGATTGAAAGTGATGGCAAAAGGATTTGAGCCTCAGTATTAACTTGCGAGAGAGGAGCGAGGGTGGGGGAGGAGGGAGATTTCATAAAGCTCCCGGCCATCTGCCCTTGAGCTCCAGGCGGGGAATGGGCTGGTCCTGCTGGAGAAGAGGGGGACCCCGCCAGGCGCGCGGATGAGCATTTCCATTTGTATTTCTATTTTTGGGGGGGGTGGGGGCGGGGAACAGGCGGGGGTGTTTGCGGTCAGAAAAAGTTAAACTTCTTTTATCCTGCTCCGGGCTCCCCCCTGGAGACGGGGGGCAGGGGGTTGAAATTTCTACACCCCCCTCCATCTCATACCCCCCCCCCGCAGTCCCCACCCTCCCCCCAGCCGCCCGCCCTGCCAAGCCCTAGAACGCTGCCCGGGCAGGTTGGTCCTTACCGCCCTAGCCGAGGGTGGGGGAGCAGCCTTCCCCACCCAGCCAGGAGGAGAGGACGCGTGTGCATCTGCCGCCTGGCACGGAGCTCCGGCGGAACCTCCCTCGCTGCACCGGCTCCAGGAGCGCCGAGCGCCGGTAAGGAATCCCGGGGCGTGGGGAGGGGGGGATTCGGAGGTGGGGAGGGGCCCCCGATCTCGCTGAGCAGGGAGCTGCCGCCCTCCGCTCCCTGGGTTTGTGCAAAGCCGGCAGGCGGGTGGGAAGCCGGCCTCTGAGGCTGGCCAAAGCCTCCACCTCCCCGGGCATGAGCCGAGGCAAAAGTTAGTTAGCAAGCGGGGGCCACTGGCGGAGGTGCCCTGCCCGTTTCTTTAATGTTGTTTTAATTGTGATAGGGATGGAAAGGATTGTTTGGAGAGGATGATTTGTTACCAACCCATCGCTCCCACGGCGGCTTTCCCCGGGTGTTTGGGCAAGAGATTAACAGTCCAGCCGTTTTTAAAGGTGTGAAGTTACAGCGTGGCTCACTTCAGTCTTTTCTATCAAACTTCTCTGTCCGCCTTGCCCATCCCCTCCCCTCCTTAACTCTACCTTGACTGGCTGCTTTGCATGCTCACATTTAATATTTTATATAGAGAGAGATATAATAGAGCTCTGGTTTGTTTGGAAAATACACAAAGTAGCAAGAAACAAAGAAAACCTCTCTTAGATTTCCCCCTGCAGTTCTCTTCCTGGCTTTTATGAATAAAGTGCACCTATGCAATAATTTGTTTGCCTGCATATGTTTAGGCAGCTGTTAAATGGTTTACTCTGCTCTGCTTATTGTAAAGAGATGATGCATAGATTTTTGTGATTAGGGGAGGCTTTGCAAAACTATAAGGACACATAAATCCCAAGTGCAATATTATCTGGACAAATATTTTTAAAAGCGTCAGATTATTATTGATTGCACTCAACTTTCTGCAGGAAAACTTTTATGAAATTAACCAGTACCTTGGAATTTTCAGTGCCTGCAGTTTTCCCTATCTGACAGAGATGTGAGGTAGAGACTAACAGCAAAGTCCCCTGGTAACAAGCTCTAATTTCCAAACAAATTGTTTGGAGCTATTTTCCTCCACCTTCTTTCTCTAAAGTTAGTTGTACAATCCTTGCAAAGTACACTCTTGATTATTTCTCAAGCTTTCATCCTTCTTGTGCCAAGGAAGTGGTGTTCTCTCCTCTTAAACTTTTTTTTAGAGTTTCAGAATAAGAGATGCAAAGCTAGAGATCATCATATTACATTGACATCTAATTTCCTATTTTGCCTGCTTTCTAACATTAGTCCTTGAATGATCTCAAAGTCCTTATGTAAAAGAAACCTTACAAGGGGTAAGAAAGGGGGGGGGGGAAGCAGCATCAATTTATGTGGAACCACAAATGCATTAAGGATAGCAGCTAAATGTGAGTGAGATTTGCAATCTTTCTGTTGGGAATATGGTTGTCCTCTGAGCTTTGCAACATCATGTACCTGCCTACATGCTGGGGGTATATTTTCTAACTTTGCTTTTTAGAATGAATTAAAAGGGGGTATTATTATCCTGAAAAAGAGAGAGAGGATTAAAAAAATCTCCTTGCACACGGTGTGTGTCAGTCTTTTTGATTTTTATAGTTCCAGGTGACACTTCTGGAAAGAACATTGAGAAGTCCATCAAGTTTACTTTCTGTACTTAATTCTAGAGCAGTGTTTTGTGACTCAAAGTGTTGTCTCGTTATTTCAATAAAGGGTTGATCCAATAAAAAAAGGAAAGAGCTAAGTCCAGATACCCAGATAAAATCTAATTTTGTGTTTTTAATACTTTGGCTATCAGTCCCTTGTGATTGCTGAGTACTCTTAAAGGAAAATAAAGAGCGTTGATTCTATTTGTTCCCATGAACTACAGTTTCTTAATAATATCAGGTGAAGATTTATTTTCCAAGGACAAAACAAAACCGATCAGGGTGAAACCTGTAGTTTGAAAAGGTTTTTTTTCCATATTAGCTTTATGTCATATTATTTCAGAGCAACATTGTGAATTATTTCTGCAAAACATCTGTAATGTTAAAACGTTGACACAACAACTATAACAAGGAGATAATGTGGTTGTTTGACTAATTGTAAATAAATTCTCAGGCAGATTTTTATTTCCTTGGGAATATGTGATATTTAGCAAATATAACAACAAAACAACTAATAGATATTATAGATTCTTTCCTTCTTAAGCTTCTCCCTCTGCCAACCGTTCAAGTGCAAAATGTATTATTTTTAAGGTTATGAAAATAATTTCTTAAAGATAACTGCATGAAGTGCCCATTGACAGAAAATTACCTTACTTGGTTTGTGTGTTCTACTGAAATCTCTACTTCTCTGTGATGTTGTTTAACAGTTGGCGGTGACCAATTTGATGTAATAATTAGGCACAGACTTTTATAATCAAGAAGACAGCTCTGATGTCAGCAGGGCTTATAGACACTTCTGTGTCACACCATTTTATTATTTTTACTAAATTTACTCAATGTAAAAATAGCACACTATTCTTTTTTTGGGAGTTTATTCAGGGCCAATGAAGCTATAACAAGCTCTCCTTTGAACAGCTAGAGACGAAGCATGAAAGATGGGTTTTCTTTTCTGCATTCATTCATCTCAATCAGAAATCCTTCAGTCTAAGAAAGGGGGCAGGGAGGGAGATGTTAACATAGATGTATGAATCCCCCTAACATGGATCAATGGATCTGTAACCTAGAGTTTCACATAGTAACCAAGGTTCACGATAAAGCAAATACTGAACACACTATGCAGGCAAAGTCATCTTTAAATTCTGGAGAGGGAAGGGGAGTTGTAGATTCAGGTGGAAAGAGAATTAGTCGTGGCTCAAGTTTTTGTTCTGAAAACACAGTTCACACCTCTCATTATAGAACTATCTTGGGATTAATGCTGAGAGAAGTTTGCCTTTTTTTGTTATTTTGTTTTGTGATTACTTGCGATTTTTATACTCTAGTGGCAAGAGAGGAAAAGATTACACATTCTTTTGTTTAAGCTGAAATGAATACTGGGAGAGGTCATTGATCTTTGTGTATTAGGAAAACCTTAAATGTTATTAGTACTTTAAATTGTTTTCATTAAATGTTATTGTGCAAATAAATCCTGTCTGTGGATACTGGACTGTGCATCTGTCTGCCTAGCTACCTTATTTATTGGCTTATTTTGTAAGACTATCAATTTGTCTGTCTGTCCCTCTTGTCTATGTCTACCTATTCATGGTCCATTCTCAATCTTCTAATGACCTATCATTTCTTCTTGATAGAATTTAGAGATCCATTAGTGCTATTGTTTTTCAGATACTGTTAAAAATCAGATACCCTTAAATGAAGTAGCTACTGATACAAATCTTCTACACAATAGAACACCCATAAGTATTTTAATATGGATTTTTTTATTAAAGTTGTATATCTCTTACAAGCTTTTTTAAATTTCATGACTCCTAGAAAGCTCAGCCTAATTTTTGTATATTTCATAGGAGTTGTGTTTTTGCAAACCTTGTTTCACCTTCTCCCCCTTTCTTCCAGCTAATCTGTCTTTTAATTTGTTGCAGGTGGTGCTTGCTAATGAGCTCTCCTTTTCCCCTTATAATGAACAAGAAACGTGACCTCAGGTAGTTGGACGGTTTGTAGCTGAAGCTTTGGAAACTTGGCATTATCAGCCAGAAATTGCCCTATGTGCATGCCTCGTCACCAGAGCAAGAAGCAAAATAAAAAACAAACAAACAAGTCAATGGTCATATTTTCAATAAAGTGACCATAGGACAATCTGTTTAGATGGCTTGCAAAATTTACCACCCAAATGATGTTGTCAGAAAGGTTGCCTTTTAAAAGAAGTAAAGTTTAGGTCCAAAGAGTCTCCCATTTCAAGGTAACATAGATAATAATGTCACTTAAATATTTTTTAAATAAAGTTTTTTTTAAAATAATTATTTAAGGCACACCACAGTTTAAGGCACTTTAAAAAAAAAGCTATACATTGGTAGCAGATGAAAAGGTTAAAGAAAACTTGATCTAGCCTCATCACATAGCCTCTCCAATTTTTCTCCTATCAAATTTCATCACCGAATCAGAACTTGAGAGCTCTATTGATTGAGTAGAGTCACCTCTAGATATTTTCACACTGATGTAGAAGATCTTTTATGCAAAACAAACAAAACAAAAAAAAAACCATTAAGTTAAGGAAGACTTTTGACCGCTGATCAGCAGTTCTGGAAGGGCTGTCCATAATTCTCCAGATCAAGTGACTTGCAAACTTGGCTTCTGTACTAAGAGACTTTCCTTGTCTGAATGCAGCATACAGAGCTGGGCCATTGTCATCTGGATCTCCTTAGGGTAGATAATTTTTTAGATGAGAAGTTTCCATGCTGATCCTGACAGTAACCCCTAGTCCAGTAGCTGCCTTTCTCGGGACTCTAGGCATTTCCTTTGCCCAGGGACCCTGCGCTTGGTCTCAGTTGCCATGCTGAACCTGGTTGCTTTTCTGTTGCACTGTCTCCCTCTGGCCATGGGACACTATGACATTTGCAAATCCTGGGTGACCACAGATGATGGCCCATCATGGGAGTTTTATGCTTGCCAGCCCAAGGCCATGCGAATGAAGGACTATGTGACAGTGAGAGTGGATCCACCAGGAATCACCTGTGGGGACCCCCCTGAGAGATTCTGTACTCATGTAAGTATTTGGTTTCCTTCATTTTCCTAGTTGACGTGGTAATTAATTATGCTTATGTCATCAGGGACAGAGTACTGTCGCTCTGAGACAATAGGTAATAAGGATACCCTGGATCAGAGTGCCACTGTTATTTGGTAGTTAGAACAAGGAACTTGAAATCAGCTCTTCTATCTAGATTCTTATACTGTTCTCCTCATTGTCCTTTCTGAACACCTTGGTTTTATTCCCAACTCTGCCACTGACTCTTTGTGAAACCTAGGCAAAATTACTTTATCCTCCCTCGGATCTCAGTTTCCCCATATGTGGCCTGGGAAGAATACCTATCACCGCACAGGGGTGGTAAGTAACTGTTTGCAAAATGATTTTGAGGCCTGTGAATGAAATATGCAATCCGTATTATACTACATGTCTGGCTCTCAATAGCATTCATCTTTCTTAGAAACTCCCCGTCATATCTTTTGCTGCAACATGTAAATACCAGCAGAACAGCCTAAGAGTGGGAGATAGTGCTGTCTCACAGAACAGAATAATGAAGACAGTCCTTAGATCAAAGGAAGAATCACTGAAGCTGAAGATCAGTTGTTTTGTTATCAGTTTGGGAAGGATGATGTTTTTAGGTCACATGGGCCAGATTTTCCAAACTTCCACAATAGGGGCCAGATATTCAAAAGAGTTCAGCGCCCAATGTGCATCCATCTTTTGAAAATGTCCACTTAATTAGTGCCTAAATGGGAGCAGAGCACTTTTGAAAATCTGGATCCAAAGGCCTGTGTAGTTCACTGGACTCCTATGTCAATGGCACAGAATCCTAATCTCAGGAGCCATATTTTATCAATGATGAGTAGATGTTCTGTAAGTCTGTGCTAGGGTGCTGAATAGAGAGGAAGGGTATATTTTGGTCCATGTAGGTAGGTGGCTTACATGCAAGACTCCTGCATCTCAAACAGCTTCATAATGAGAAGTCCCTAAAGCCTATGTCTTTTCTTTTCTCCATCTTCAACCTGAAGAGGCACCATAGCCAGACACTCACTCTTGTATTTAAAATCTTTAACCTATTTTCCCTTAAATATTAATCATTGCCTTTTATTGAGTGCACCACAAAGCTCGGCTGGACCATTTGATTTGTAATTCACAAGGATTACTTTGTTTAAAGAGTGCAGAGGTCAAAACAAACAGCAAAGCAATATGGTTTAAAAGTCCTTTCCTAACTATACAACGTTAGAACCCCGGTGAGTCAAAAAAAAATTAAAATAAATCAAATCACATTTTTAAGGAAGACTGACAACAATCAAACTGTGTACTGAAGAGGCTTCAAAAAGGGGAAATTTCTTCTTTACGGATTCTAAATCACCAGTTATTTGTGATGAGGTGGGAGTATTGTCTAGTGGCTAGAGCAACTGGCTGGGAGTGAGGATTCTCAGTGTCTATTCTCCACTCTACCACTGACTTAATTTAAGTTTAGTTAAACCACTTGAACTCTGTGCCTCAGTTGCCCTATTTGTAAAATAGGCAAAACAAACAGCTCATTACATCTCTTGAGAAAAATCAAGATTTATTGTCCCAAGAGGAAAATATTGACCTAAAGCTAACTGATGCCAAATCTTTATGTTCACCAAAATACGAAGCCAACATTTGTATTGTTACATATGTTCAGAGTATTTTCATTAGAAATATCTAGCAATTAAGTCCACTAATTCCAAATGTGCAACAGTTTTCCCTTTTAAACTCCTATTCTTATAGGACAGATGAAGTTATAGGTCCACAAGAAAATAGTTAACTATTGATAAGTCAGTCTAGAAGCATAGATTTCCATTTATCTGATTAGCTCCAAAGGGATTAAAAGGTGAACAACAGATTTCACTGAATTCATCAGGAAGCAGTTACTTGCCAATGTACTCTGGTTAACACTGCATCAGATCTTGGTGGTGTTGACCTATCAGGCGGTAACTGTTAAAAATTTACCGACTCATTACATACATTTATTTAGCCAGTAATGAGCCAGCATCTATTACATGTAACAATAGTACTTCCTATCTTACATGGTTGTTGTGTCTTAAGTAACGTACCTGAACTGCTTGGAGAACCTTGAAAGAAAGGGATCTAAAAATGCAAAATATATTATGGATTTGGTTGCACTTCCATTGCTAACTCCAGAATAAACATACAAGTCCTACTATAGATATTAACTGAGTTGTACAATAGGGATAATTTGACATCTTGTTAAAGTTTGAACTTGTATTGCAACAAAACGCACCCAAGTGTATTCCCTGAAGAACAAACAAATTTGGAACAAAAGTATTTAACTGTAAGTCATTTTCTATATTGTGACAAATTCTGCTCCCAGACCCACTTGTGCAACTGTTATTACAATTCATGGGAGTTAAGCATGCATAGCTGAAGGTGGAATTAGGGTTCCATGTGTCTCTGCTACAGTGCAGTTAAATAAGTACCTGGGGGAACTGTGAACCTAGGAATTGTGTAATAACTCCCCCATCATAGCCCAATGGTAAAATATTATATCATGAAGGTAGAGCGTGACACTTGAAGCCTCTTCAGTTAACGTATCTGTTCATCCTGTGCATTTTGTTCCTTTTATTTTGATAGCCTCTTTCTCAAACTCCTGGTGCTTAACGTAATTCAAAATAGCAGAGATCCCATTTAGAAAAATTGTTAACGGATCATGTTAGTTAATTAGCCTCATAAAACCCGAGCTCAAGCTGCCATTCCCCCTTCCTGGGCCATCCCCACCAAATCCCTTGCCTCTCCCAATGCTGAATAAATTCTACAGGTGTAAAGAGGTATATGATAATGCTACATATAACAGTAGATAGAAATGTAATAATAAAAATTAAGCAGAGTAGACAGCCAGCCCAATATTCAGTGCGTAGAACAATGTGCTGCTACAAGAGAAACCGAGGACAGAGTCTAACTCTTAAGACTTCTGCACCTTTAGCTGGAAGGCCACCATGGTAACTTTTCACAGCTTCTGTCATGGAGAATGGTAGATGCTCCCTTACCCTTGAGCAGCCCCTTGTGGTCAGCAGAGAGCGAGCCAGTCTTAGAAGAGGTGGTTGGTTCAGTCACAGGACACGTGTAGTGACTTAGCACCTATTGACAGAGAAAGAAGACAATCTAGAGTGGGGAAATGAGGGATGTGAGCAAAGAATACTGGCCCTGTATAAAGGAGGTCGTGAGCAAAATCCCAGGGCTGCCCATCAGTCATTGTGGCTTCTAATCCTTAGTCCCTGTATTCAAGAATTGCAGGTTTAGCAACTCCCACAAATGTTGTGTTAGATGCTGTATAGCAAAGCTAACTATGGTGTATGATTATATTCTCCACACACTTTTTCCTCTCCTGTTGAGCTGATAGTAAAATATTCAATCATTTGCTCTCCTCTTTAGTTTTTAATTACCGATGCAGAACAGGTAGACACTCCTCAGAGCATGGCTTTCTAGAAGAGTAAATTTTATGATGGCTGTTTTGATCTCTCTTCTCTCAGGTGTCTTCTGTAATGGCAGGCTGCTATGCATATAGTTAAAATAATAATTTTATTACTAATTAAGCACTCAGTGCCAACGTGTGTGCAGGGCACCGTACAGACAACTGAAATAAAAATAAAATTACACACAAGATTCATAAATACATGATTAAAAACTTCAAAGTAGACAAAGAGGAAATGGTGATCTAGCATTATTAAAAATGGATGTAGGAGGAGAGTCCTCCACAGGAGCTCATGTTAAGGTGCCTATCCTGCAAGATGTTGGATGCAGTCTGTGTGGTACCCTCAACTCGTATTGAAGTCAAGGAGATACTCTGCAGCCTTCAGAATCAGCCTCTAAAACTGTAACAGCTCTGAAAGAGGAGTGTTTTCAGATGATATTTGAAAAGTGGCGTGTGATAGGCTGAGGTGGATGTCTGGGGGATTGCAAAAACTCTACCGAGTATGGTACCGTCTCAGTTCTAAAGCAATTTCTATTCACATCTGGCTGCTTTTTCCACTCCACAGAGTATTCCTGCTGATTATTAAAGTCAGGGGTTTTGTTTTCACACTTCTTGAACTTTCTCCTGTTTGTCAGTACCCTTCTGGCAGGGTCACCTGAAAGAATTAATTGTAAATTTCATGATGGTTGGAAAGTGGGGGGAGAAGGGGAAGATGGATGGATGGATGGATGAATAAATAAGAACTTGAATGAATCTAAAAGTGAGACTGGCAATTATTAGGAAATAGATCTCTTAACCAAGGATGCTTGGGGGAAGGGTGAAATTTCAAAGACCAGATGCAGTGTGTTGCATACAACAGCTAAAACCAGATTTCAAATGAGGGAAGTAAGAATTGCTGCTCTATAGTAAATCCTTCTACGTTTTTTTTGTGGGTGCAGTAGCATGTTTCTGCATTACCTGATACAAAGCTACTTTGTCATCAAGCTGTTGTATTGAGGGGTGAGTGGCAGAATATGGCCTTGCTAATAAAACACTCTCCGGTATCCAGATATTTTGGACCAAATTCTCCTCTGTGATATACAGAGACAGCCCCTATTGAGTATGAACTGATGGAACTGAGAAGAGAATGTGACATTTGTACTTTATTTTTCCAGGTCTGCAAAAGACTAATTATTTACAATTAACACAGTTATGTAGGTTTACAGTGCAACATACAGGCACCGAAAAGACACACATTCTCTGCCCCAAACCCAGGCAAATGTTAGGGTTCACAGCTAGTTATAACAAATGCATTCTGATCAGGGTGGAGAATGCTCAGCTACAGCCCTCAGGTAATAGAAAGGTGCGACAGCAAGCTAATGTCCAAAACTGTAATCCACATAATTAGTTGTTGATTAATGCTACAGAGAGCTGTCACTGTGCTATAATACCTCCGTGGCGCACGCAGCCCATCTTTCCATTGTGAATTAGCCTTTGTTTGCAGAGGTTTTGAGGGAGCTCATCCTCATTCACATGGTGTTCTTTGACACAGGGCAGGGCTGTTAGCCCATATGGATGG